CAGGATGGACATGAATGATGCAAGAAGGCTACACAGGGAAGTTTAAAAAGTTCTGCTTTTCTATTACAAAGTGGGTGAATATCCACAGTCAGACTTTTCTCATGGCCGGAAGTTTGAAATTATTTGTACCTTTCACATATTAACCGTAAAACTGACTACTTGAGTCCAGTTAATTATTTAGATGAATTGCCTTTCTATTGCAGATTAATAAATGTACCAGAAATTCTGATTTTAGTTCAGCGTACAATTGAGAGTGCTATGTTCAAAGCCTATGTAACAATCATAAAATTGGAATGGGACATTTAGGTCATCAAATGTTATGTACAATGTTTTCCCATATTGTTTGGTGACTGGTCAGTTTAGTTAAGGATGTAAGGTTTTGGCGGAGGTATAATCAGAATAAGCTTATCTGTTGTTATTAAGAAAGATATTTAGTTGTAAGATTAGGACATGTACAAAGATTTTGGGCAGGTTATGGACCAAATGAGGCTGCAAATTTATGATTGGAAGCAAGTTTAAATAATTTATTACTACAAAGACCTCAAAATTCTTATGAAGTGATTAACATGGAGGGATCCACTACAACATGGACAGTGAATTCTGAGTACTGATCTACCAACTAGAAGACCCATCACCAACAGAACTGATTTTGCTGACTCGGTGATCAGAAGTGGTGATAGTAGACATTTAAATTGGTTGAATCTGTGGGGATTTTAAAAATTATTTCTTCTTTCCAGAAGATTCAAAACAAGGAAGGCAAAGCTAGGGACTATGTGGCACTATACCACATGCTTGCACCAAACAGAGGGAAGATGGTTCAAAAATTAGGGTGGCTTATATTTCTTTCCACTCAGGTTACATGGGAGTCTATATATTTGAAGCGCTACAAATAACCAGTTCAGATTATGGCTCTTATGGCTATCCCCATTCTACAAACTAAGGAAGATGATATTCTCAGAAGTATTTAAGAACTGTTACTTAGGCAAAGAGGATTGAAACTCTCTTAAGACCAGAAAAGTAAAATGACATTCAGAGCAGCTCAGGCATACATCTCTCTGATTCACTGAGGGGAGATAAATGATTTAATTAGACTTAGAAGATTGTTATGTAGCCTATGTTAATAAAGCATAGTTCTAGTATTCCAGTGGAATTGATTTTCTGATTTGCACTGTCTAGTGGGGCTGACATGGATTATTAGCCATACTCTTCCTAATGGAAAGTTTTTCCTATTATCAAGATCAGACGGATGTGTGGTGTTGAGCTAATAGATAGCCATATGGAGTATGAAGAACAGACTCTCCCAATCTGAGATAAAGAGGCTGCCCAAAGGCTTTCAGGATATTGGTTGCATAGCGGTAGTAAACTACATGGAGTCTCAATTTGAATAGTGTTACCAGATCATGGGTCTACATATTTTTCTGTAGTTATAGTTTCTGAATAAGTTAACTATAATGGGCTGTTGGCTTATGATATAGGATGGGAGGTGGTAGTAGGCAGGGGTGGGATTCAACTGGCATTACTACCAGTTCAGTAATTTTACGTTTTTTAAGTTATAGAAAATCAAAAGCCTATATCTAGAGTATCTTCTCCCTCCTCTCCCCGCCCCAAGTAATGTAACATTTTTATGATGAAGTGATGGATCTATGGGATAAACAGTTAACTACAAGCATATTGGTAATTAGAAAAAAGTAGCATAGCTTCAAGAACAGGATTATGGTAGATACAGTCATCCATAGGCAGATGGGGGCAAAAGCAGACATATGAACACCACAATTATTCAATTTTGTAAATAACCAGAAATCATTGGTCAGTGTATATAGTGTAAATGATACTTCATGGTTCTTTTTTACATTTTTCTAATTCAGTGTCTAATTTCCAATTATAAATAACACATCAACACCCCCCCACACACACACACCCCAAAAAAGCTTAAGGAACTCAGTGGGTAAAACAGCTTACTTGTGTGCAAGGAGAAATTATTATCTGGTAGAAGATGGGACTGATTTGTCTAGAGGGCAAAAGAGGTCTGAACTAGTGAGCTCTGGAGATGAAAAGAGAAACTGAAGTCAAGTGCCAAAAAGGTTTTGAGGTGGAGGCCTCAATTATCTGATGCCCTATCAGAAGATAAGACATACTGTTATCTTTCCATATTCTACTACAGGGATCTCAAACCTTGGCAACTTTAAGCTGGCTAAGGAACTCTGGGAGTTGAAGTCCGCAAGTCTTAAAGCTGCCAAGGTTGGAAAACTCTGTTCTATTACATTATTGTGATAAATTCCATAATTATTATATTACTGTAATATTGTATTTTTTTCATTTCATATCACTCTTTCTAAACCTATCAGGCAGTTTTATACAGAATTTTAAACCATTCAAATACACTAAAACAAAAAAAGATTAAAACCATAGAAATTATTATTAAACCAGGAAAACCACTAAATCAGTGCTTATCAAACTTGACAACATTAAGATGTGGGGACTTCCAAAATTTTCCAATCAGCATGTCAATATATGGGAAGCCCATGCAATTTAAAGTTGCTACTTTTGAAAAACACTGTACTTGATGTTATTAATCTGGCTAGCGTCCTGTCAGTGACAGATTTGAGGGCTGTTTGGAAACTGAAACAGTATTTGCTGTTATCTGCTTTTAAATAGAGAGATTGGAGTAAAAAAGAATTCTGGTATCTATGATATACTTTCATTCATCCTAAAATTAAAACTACTATAATTCAACCCAAAGTTGCTTTAACTGTAAAAAGGTTTAAAAGAGATAGTCAGTTGGGTGCGATGGTTAAGCTGTTGGGCTAGAAACTAGAAGCTCTGTTAGTCTTCCCTTAGATATGAAAGCCAACAGGGAGACTTTGGACCTATTCTCAGTTTTCCTCAGCCCAATTCACCTTACTGGTTTATTGTTGTGGGAAAAATAGAAGACAGAAGTATTTGGCATGCACACTTCCATAAGTTAATAACAAGGCAGGATAAAACAAACAAATACATGTAACAGGTTCATAAATTTAATATGAAGAGATCATGCAACAGCATCATGTTACTTTTTATCAAAGAGCAGAAAATGGATTTCATTGATCTGTATCATTTTATCCAACTAATAAAAATAAATAAGCTGTAAAGAATACTATGGATAATACTATGCTTAGTCAAGATTCCCAATTACTGAAAAGAAACCAATTATGTACAACATCTTTATGACATTTTATATACAAATAGATGGACTATGCATAACTATGTTATCTTTATAACTTGAAAGAATTGTATTATACTAGCTTCTACACTTTATTATTCCTTGGCAGAGGGACAGCAGTTAAATTCTTGGCAGAAAGTAGTTTGCAGAGAACAAAACCAGAACACCACCATTGGCATATTAACTGAGAAAGACTGACATTTAGCCTGAAGGGTGGGTATGGCATGCAACCCCTTGCAACACCAAATTGGTAGATACTTTTAAATTGGGCTATTAAATCCCTTCATATTAAACATTTTGTAAATTACATTCCAAAATCATCTTAATCATTTTAAAACATGTCCCTGCAATTCCATGCAACATCTCTATTACCAGTTCCACTCATGTTGGGATTTGCTCTTTTGGTTCAAAAGGAATCCAAGGAGGGATCTGTTTTTATTTTGCTTCACAGGAATTAAAAAAAGAAAAAGAAATGTACTCAGCACATGTCAAGTATAGGTAAGTCATATTGTTTTATACATATATGCTCTGGCTCCACTTGACAAAAAATTCCATCCTATTGTGTTTTGGTATTGTTTGTAGATTAAGAATCCCAGTATATGCCCCCAACTTTACAAGTACTATATATCCAAATTAATATTAGGTTGATATAACTCAATACCACCATTAAATTCTGCATCTGCTTAAACATTCATATTATTAAAAAAGGCAGATCTCATTTTCTTTATAAATATATGGGGAAAAACAAGATAATGCTCAAAAGCCTGTTCCATAAGAGGATCCTATGACAAAGGCATGATTCTTAGGTCCCACAAGATGATCCTGCCTAATAAAGGGCACCCGGAGTGCACTAACATTGTTGGTTTGAGTAGGGTGAGCTAAGACAATAGAGACAAGTGACTATAACTTAATCTCACATATTTTAAATCTGAACTAAAGTCTCATCAATTGTTAAACTACCCCAAGTTACATACAGCTAATTAAGAATTAACTCAATAAACTCAGAACTTAGTGCTGAGTAAACATAACCATGTTGTATCAACCTAAGAAAACTCTTTCACAGCTAGGGGTCCCTCAAACACACCTGGGAAATGCAAATAGGACATTTGAGTTACACAGCTCTAGCTCTCAATTTACATGTCTATTTTATGTTAAAAGAAGAAGCAGAAGTATAGGAGCCGTCAAGAAAAGTAGAACTTTATCTTCCAATATGCTATTCTTCACTACTCATTAAGAATGTTTGGGGAACATATTAAAAAGGAGAATTAAAACAATTATTGAATGCCACTACGTTTTCCTCAAGATTCTGCCTCCACCTCATCTGTCCTACTACAGGATGATGCAACCACAAAGTGGGGGAGAAGAAATAGAGGTCTCTCGCCAAGCATTTCATGAACAAAGAACCCTCCTCACCAGCTCTGTAAATTTAGAGCTGCAGTTGCCACATCTCACTATTTGTCTCCTCCCTCCCCTTATTAGATGAAATAAGCTCCTGAGCTGGAACTTTACTACGAGGTAGGGAAACTGGCCTTCCAGCTGCTAATGTACTCCCCATTTCTACCAGGCTTAGGCGGCACCGGCAAAAATAGGAAATAGCAACCGAACTCGGGATAGGGACTGCACTTTATTAGTGCCCTGATAAACACAGGAACCGTATCATAAACACCATTATTACAGAAATAAGTGTGTTTCCTTCTATTACTACTGCACCACTAATTCTTACTTGCTTTATTAAAATGAGAAAAGGGGCAACAAATTTCACGCGGGTAGATGGAAACCGCTCTCCGCAGAAGATACTCACCGGCCAACCCGGAGCGAAGCGTGTGCGAAGCTCTTTCCCAACCCACCTTATCTTTTAGGGAAAGAGTAAGCCGTGATTGGCTGGAAGGAGGGCGTGAGGGGCAATAGCCAATGAGAATAACCAATGAGAAGGTACTGCCTCAGTGCAGCGATGTTCGCGCATTGCTTGTTCGTCTTGCACAGCGATTGACGACGATTGGATTTTCTGTTGGGGGTGGGTGGGATTATATAGCTTTCTCGTCAGGGCGTTAAAATGAGACAACGTTGAGTTAGGATGGAGCTCAGAATTTTGTGGTTACTCTGGGTTTACGCCATATTTCCACGCCTTCTCCAAGCCAAGCAACAGGCAAACTAATGGGGAGATTTTTCTCCGGTGCCCTGCTCAGAAGTTCCCGATTGAACTTGAATGTTGGAATTCACAATGTCTTGCCTCATCTATACCTTCTTTCCTTTATTAACGCAGGGGCTTAGGAGACAGCTACAGCACCATCTGATATTTGACTTATGGTTGATGCGCTCCTTTACCTGTTTAATTATTTCTGTGTACTATTGCTGGGCATTTTGAGAACCTTGAGAGACAAGATAAAAATTTAAATAATATTTTAAAAAAATTGGAGAAATATTTGGAAGGCATTTTAAACGCTTCGTTAAATATTCGGTTAAATGCTATATACAAGCATAAAAATATTAGGAGAGCTCACCTCTGCTGGATCAAAGAACCCATCAAATCAAATGCTTTGGCACCCTCCAGTTTGGATGTTAAAGCAACTAATATTCAAGATCTTATGTACCTAATATGAACCTATTATGATTAGTAGCCATTGATTTAAGAAATTGATCTAATTCTCCTTTTAAAGTTATCCAAGCTGACAATCTTTACCTCATCTTGAGGTAGAAAATTCCATCATTTACCATGTTCCACCTATTTGCCATTTTTTTGCAGATATAGCAATTTTAGTATATTTTATTAAGTCTCCAGTGAAGTAGCCTCAGAGGTCGGCTTAGCGAAAGAGGTTTGTTTCTTAAACATCAGAGCGTCAAGCTTGCTTGTTAGCATTTTCAACCTGTTCCGCTATACTTTTTTTTTAAAAAAAATCTCCCAACAGCAGCGAGGAACGCAGGTTGTAGTTTTTGGTTGTCGTCTTCCAATCGGAAGACGCCCCATAGGATTTATTTTAAGGCGTCAGGCTGGCTACGCCTCCGGCTCGTTTTTCGAAGAAGGAAGCCGGAGCTTTTGCGCAAGAGCGAAGTGTGACATCCGTCTAGTTACGTCTACACACGGGATCACCCTTCCCGTCCGGCGATTCGCTAGTCTGCTGACTCATGACAGGTTCTTTAATTTCTACACGAACGCCTGACCTGTTTCTTCCTTTGCTGATTCATCCTCGGCCGTAGTTCAAGCAACCGTTTCTTCAAACGTACGTCGGTAACACTGTACTGTTCCCACCTTCCGCAGTGCTCCATTTTACAAACGATGGAATAGGCAATCTGCTGAAAATTTCCACGGTTTGTGAATTACCACCAGATGGCAACGAAGAAAAACAGACTTCTCATTGCTGCAGCAGTCTTATCTCAGATTTTTGCACTCCCAATAAAGTAGCCCAGGTTTATTAAGTGTCTTAGTCTTATTTTTAGAAAATTCTCTAAAATCTAGGAAAGACGTTCTTTTGTTTCAATCCAATCTATCTCCCAAAGGTGTTTGTGAGATACAGGAAAACAAGGTTTTTAGTATGCTGCCTTAGGAGTCCTATAGGAAATATATAAACGTAACAAATGAAAAGCAAGACTCTGAACTGGAAGCAATCAACTGTATATTTCTTTCTGTAGGAATCTGCCTCCTTGGCAGCTTCTTTCATCAGCAACTAACAAAGTTTAGGCAAACTGATAATTTGGAAGGATTATTTTGTTCCATTCGTTCCAGAACTAGCTAAAATGAGATAGTTGCCAAAAACAGCATTCAAGATTTGGTGTCTCACTGATATTAAGTTTCTAATGATGAAGATAAATTTTCTGCCATTAAATGTTACATTTTCAAAATTGTTTTTAATGATGGCCAGGAATTGTCAATATTTATGTTGCTACTGTTCTGTATAATTTATTCATCATGTTAACTGTTTTTGGAATCAATTGTAGGAAGGTATACTGTATAAATTACTAAGTGAAAGCATACAAATATGATTATCAATTGTGGGTGAACTAGTAACTCTGATTATGGAGTTCGTAAAAATCTGAATTATGAATCTAATGCAAATCACTTTTGCCCATCAGTTTTCCTACAACCAAACTGCAACACAGAACTTCTTGCTATCCTTTTATGAGATAACCCTACCCCAACAAGTTTAGCTTTACTACGGCACTTATGATAAAACAGAGTATGATAACTAAAAATGATTTTATTGGATTGTCTGGGGAGGCATACTTGGGAGTTGCAACTACTCAGGAATGCTTAGAGAATAGGCTTTAAATTTTTAAGTCAAAAATTGGATTTATTGTAAATGCCACATCCACAGAGCACAATTTTCTTAGTAACAAAGAAACATACAGATTAATGTAACTAAGCATTTGACGGAGTAAAGAAATGCTCCTTGCACAGCTTTAGTTTAATGTGCCTAGGCTAACCTAAATAAGCAGAAACAGAAGAGGAACAAATTAAACGCCTTAACTGTATTTTAATGTATATAATACTTTATTATACACATTAATAGTTTCATCCATATCTAAATGTAAAAATCAGGTATCTGCAGTACATTGCAATTACCCAAATCATTCATCAGGGTCAAAACTGATAAGAGTTTTTCTATAAGAAATCAGTTACACAAAGAAAACTGTATCACTACAAATTTTTATTCAGAAGCCCATCTTTTTTTAAAAAAAGTTTCATTATGAACTTGTTTGGTCAATCAACTACAACACTTTCTAACAGAGAAGGTAGAAATGGCATGGCTCAGAATCGTCCAGATCTTTCACGATCTCTTGACCGCCTTCTATCACGTTCTCGGCCCCCTCCTCCTCCTCCTCCTCCACCACCACCACCACCTCCTCCACGACCACGATCTCTGGATCTAGAGCGACGTTCACGAGACCTTGACCTGGATCTATGCCTATAAAATAAAAATAAGCAATGTGTAACTACTTCACTTTGGCCTATGCACAATACTAATATACAAGGAATAAGTGCAAAATATTAAATATAATTTAAGGATTCCACATGACATAATTTGCATCATTACATAACTACATAAATATTGAAGGCTGTTTACCTGTATTCTTAATAATGTGCAGAGATGAATGACCTTTTGCTGGGAAATGATTATCCTCTTATTCAGTTCCTTGCAGATAGGTCAAGGAAAAAGACTTTCCCCATCTGAAATTGGCCCTGGCTTCCATTGCTATATTCTCCATGAGTACTAAGTAGGAGAAAGATCCTGGCAATACTTTGGGAGAGTTTGATTGGTATCAGATACACTGTACCACAGGTTAACAAGATATGAAGCCTTGTTTATTAAAGTAAGCTCAACAGGAGTATTGTTGAATTGCTTATCTGGTTGCTCAACATCATTATTTTTTATGAACTGCTTGATCTCACTAAAAGATTTATGGTTGTTTCTCCAGGGTTGTTTGTGTCAGAAGATGTTAGCCTTTCTTCCCTGGGGTTGAGGTCAGAGTTGACTTGGTATTTCATAAATATTATGGACTTGTCCCATGTCAGCATGGGGCCAAATAATGAAGTGGTCATATTCTTGATCTGGTATTTATGCAATGTGATCTGTAATTATAAAGTATTATATCAAGCCACTTTTTAGTTGCCACAATAACCCTCCCTAGGGAAGTAGGAGCCATTAGGACATTGCTCCTCGTGGATTTGTCTAATTTTCAGCTGCCACTTTTAGGAATCCCCAGCAATTTAGCAGTCAGTTAGATCAGCTTGGCCTCGGAAGTTGTGGGAGCGCCATCACTTGAGACTTTCAAGAAGAAATTGGACTGCCATTTGTCAGAAATGGTGTAGGGTCTCCTGATTGGGGAGGGGGTTGGACTAGATCAGCAGTCGCCAACCGGTGGGCCGCGGTCCACTGGTGGGCTGTGAGAAAATTTTGGTGGGTGGCAGAGAAATCTCACCCCCAGAGCACCCCCCAAAAGCAATTAATCCAGGCTGCGCAGAAACACAACTCTGCGCAGCCCACATGGCCCACGGGAACCCTCTCCGCCCACTCACTCCTTACCTGGCACACTTGTCTGCTAAGTTGCTATTTTTCCTTTTTCTGTCCATCATCTGTTCTGCTGTGCCAGGAGATTTAGATTAGCTAGGAAGCAGGAAATGGTTGGATTTCTTGCTTTCTAGCGAAGCACAGCCAAACCTCCCTTAGGACTGAATTTTGCAAGCAAATTCAGTGCAGACTCACAGCAAGCAAATTTGAGAGACTGAGCTAGCCAATGGCAGATAGATCACTGAATGATTCTGTAAGCAACTCAATCTGCCTGCCTGCTTTGCCTGATTTTGGGTAAAAGTTGCTCTTTTTTTAAATAAAAAATTTAATATTTACATGCATGGTGTGTTGTGAGTTAATTTTATGAGTTTGCTTGCAAGCAAATTTTATGTGACAGACTGAGCTAGCGATGGCAGATACATAGATCTCTGAATGAATCTGTGATTCTGTGAGCAACTCAATCTGCCTGCCTGCTTTGCCTGATTTTGGGTAAAAGTTTCTTTCTTTTTTTTTATAAATTCAATATTTATATATTTATAATATTTACATACAAGCCATGCCCAGCCAGTCACATGACCACCAAGCCACACCCACAAATTAGGTCATGCCCACAGAACCAGTTAGTGGTCTAAAATTATGAGTTTGGTGGTCCCTGAGGTCCAAAAGGTTAGCGACCCCTGGACTAGATAACTTATAAGGTCCCTTCCAACTCTGATTATTTGTTATCTGTTATCATGCACCATGTCAAATTCTAGATCCAGAGGGCAATTGTTTAAAGTATCCTGGACTTCCATGTAAAAATAAAAAGTTGACGCTGCAATGTTACCTTATTCTACT